TACAGTACTACAGGATTTAAGATGGGCAGCTGCCTACTATCTACCTACAGGTTTTTGCACTAAGTTGATTGACAATTTGCAACCTATTAAAATATAGTGAAAAGACGGCGGCTTAAGATGATATAGAAATTGAATTAAATTTGAGCCATTCTAAGAAAAAAGATTCCTATAAACATGTGTAACTTCATTCTAGTTCTATTTAATCCACGCGTCTAAGTTGTATTTCAAAATTTAAATTCAAACCTGGGGTCTTATTAGTGCAATTAGCTAGATTAGAGAATAATCTGTGAATATTAAAGCTAAAAAACTTGATCATTTTACATGTGTAGCTTTATAAATAATTTTGAATGACAGCGATGAAGTGATGATGGGATGATGGGATCTGATCTTCGAAGTTATGAAGGTAAATACTCATCTGCTATGTAAGATGAAGTAAGCAGACTCGGTGAAGACGTCATCATAGTATTCATTTTGGTTACTTGAGAATATACTAAATATGGCAGCGCGTTACATCTCCGTGATCGTGTACATGATTGACATCAAGAGTTTATTTTAAGAATTGTGTACCAAATGTTTACAAATCAAGATCAGTCCACGAATAGTTACAATTTAGATTTTTTTGCTACCCTATCAATCTTCCACTAAATTCTTAAGAAGCAAAAAAATAAGCTATGCATGATAATCATATGTCGAGGCTTTTTAGGCTTGGATTCTAAAATCAACTTATAAATAAATTTATGAATTAAGCTTCAAATGATAGAATAATGTTGTTGAAAACTCATGCGCATGCTATATAAGTTACCTGTTTTTGTCATGCTGCTTTAGAAATAATTATAGGCACCGCCAAAAACACATAAAGCAGGCTTCCTCATATAAAGGAAAGAAATCCTTCAATTTTGACTTCAGATCCTGGATGTGGGCAAAAATACATGCAATTACATACAATTTCCCACACAAACTTCAATTGGCCTTGTCTGCATTATTAGCCCTGCAAGAAAGTTCCCGAGCACTTTCACAAATATATTCAAGGCATTATAACTTTTTTTTCAATCCAATCTTTCTGTAAAAATCAAAAACATTGCACACGCACACAAATTTCTCAAAGCTATGCTACGACAAACATATGAATGGCTCGAAAATCGACACTGGGGGACGAAAAAGACGAAAATTCGGCAAAAAAGGCCAATTCTTGCAATTTTTCTTAAAAATAAAATGTCTGGGAGCTCAGAAAACACTATTGGTGTCAAACGAGCGTAGTGAATTTTAAATGTCATGAGGGTGAGAAATTGGAACTTTTTACCCCAAAAGGCACCGAAACTGACCAGTGCAACACATCTACTTCTTGCTAATTTAAGGAAGTTGATTGGAAAAAATAACATAAAATTCACTTTTCCAATTATCTTTAGCCTTATGGGAGCAAAGGGTTCTAAAGAAAAAACGACGCCGTCACCGAAAAGCGAGCTTTGACATTAGCAAGTTTGCTTCGTGCAGCCTAATAAGATAGAGAGCCTGCAAATTTCAAAGGAGATATTCTTGTCGGTTCATCCAAATCAATATTTGACGGTTTTCCTGTAAAGCG